TTACATATCTGAAAAACACAGATGTCAATGTTGTAGGGCACAGAAGTTGGGAGACCATAAGGGTCACAGCCTGAACTATAACAAAAAAGAGGTTAACAGCCGGTGCAGGTGGCTCACGCCTGTAATCCCAGCACTCTGGGAGGCCGAGGGGAGCGGATAACGAGGTCAACTAATCGTGACCATCCTGCCTAACACGATGGGACCCCATCTCTACCAAAATTCCAAAAAAATTAGCCAGGCCTGTTGGCAGACGCCTGTAGTCCCAGCTACTTGGGAAGCTGAGGCAGGAGAAAGGCGCGAACCCGGGAGGCGGAGCTTGCAGGGAGCCGAGATCATGCTTCTGCACTCCGGCCTGGGCGACAGAGCGAGACTCCGTCTCAAAAAAAAAAAAAAAAAAAAAAAAAAAAAAAAAAACGTTGACAAATGTAAAGCATAACAAATGAATCTAATCAAAGTTTTACCTGACACTAGAGACTTCAGAAATGAAGCTCCAAAGATCCAGGGAAAACTGTCTATTTTCATATGTACCTCCAATGAAGAATAGACAGACATTTAGAAATGTGTTTAGACAAAGACAGTATTGAAGAAACTTAGCAAACCTTGTCCAGATTCTTCTTGGCCTCTCTGTATAGCATTCCGTCCTCCTAGATATGGCAGGACCCCTTTGGAATGACAGTCTTCAAGGGAGAAGGGAGGGTAACTTTCTAGGTTTTAAGGCTTGCTTTGAGGGAGAGGAGTTGTAGTTTCTGTGACCTACTTTGGGGAAGAGACCTTCTGGTTTGTATGACTGTCTTCCAGGGGAGAACAGGAGGAGGTCGGAAAGACTTTGCTTCTGAGGGTCCTCTAATCTCCTTTAGTTCAAAGTACTCAGCATGCCAAGATGTCATATTTTCAGGAATTATGTTCTGAGCCCCAACAATGTAAATATTCTCAGGGCAATGCATTTATTTATTTATTTATTTATTTGTATTTATTTACTTTATTTTTTTGAGATGGAGTCTTGCTCTGTCGCCCAGGCTGGAGTGCAGTGGTGTGATCCCGGCTCACTGCAACCTCCGCCTCCTGGGTTCAAGCAATTCTCCTGCCTCAGCCTCCTGAGAAGCTACAGCATGTCAATATGCCATACTTTGGGGAATTATGTTCTGAGCCCCAGCAATGTAAATATTCCCAGGGCAAAGTATTTTTGTATTTATATTTATTTATTTAGAGATAGAGTATCACTTTGTTGCCCAGGCTGGAGTCCAGTGGTGTGATCTCGGCTAACTGCAACCTTCGCTTCTCTGGTTCAAGCAATTCTCCTGCCTCAGTCTCCTGAGTAGCTGGGATTACACGCATGCGCCACTATGCCCAGATAATTTTTGTGTGTATTTTTTTTCTTTTTTCGTTTTCTTTTTTTTTTTTTTTTGTGACAGAGTCTCGCTTTGTTGCCCAGACTGGAGTGCAGTGGCGCCATCTTGGCTCCCTGCAAGCGCCGCCTCCTGGGTTCAGGCCATTCTCCTGCCTCAGCCTCCCCTGGGACTACAGGCGTCCGCCGTCATGCCCAGCTAATTTTTTGTATTTTTGGTACAGACGAGGTTTCACCATGTTAGCCAGGATGGTCTCGATCTCCTGACCTCGTGATCCGCCCACCTCGGCCTCCCAAAGTGCTGGGATTACAGGCATGAGCCACCGCTCCCGACCGCTTCGTGTGTATTTTTAATAAAGACAGGGTTTCACCAGGTTGACCAGACTGGTCAGGAACTCCTGACTTCAGGTGATCCAACAGCCTCAGCCTCCCCAAGTGCTGGCATTACAAGAGTGAGCCACCGCGCCCAGCCCAAGGGCAAAATATTTTCAAGGCAATCAGTAAACCAGAGATCTTTCATAGGATTGTGAAAGGAAAATAAATCTCAGGACCCCAAAACCACTAAGCCAAGGGAAAAGTCAAGCTGGGAACTATGTCAGGCAAACCTGTCTTCCATTTTATTCCTAAATAAGATAGCTATAATAAAAAGCTACATACCTCCCTTACAATTTTCCCATAAGGAAATTCCTTGTGGACAAAGGATAAAGAGAATTCAAAGTCATCCTTCTGAGGCTCACCTGAGACACATGTGTATCTGATTGCGTCCTCTGCCCTATTATTTATGTAAAAATGCAGATTCACTGAGCCAGACTAAATTGTGTATTCAATGGGAGGCTGATCAATGACTCAAAAGAATGCAGTCTTTTGTCTCGAATCTACTTCTAACCTGGAAGCCCCCACTTCGAGTTGTCCTGCCTTACTGAACCGAACCAACGTACATCTTACACATGTTGATTGATATCTTTTGTCTCCCTAAACTGTATAAAAGCAAACTATACCCCAACTACCTTGGGCACATGTTATCAGGACCTCCTGAGGCTGTATCACAGGCCCATCCTTAATCTTGGCAAAACAAACTTTCTAAATTGATTGACACCTGCCTCAGATGCGTTTTGGTTTACAGGATGTTATATAGACAACCAGAATATTCCTCCCCCAAAATATACCACTTGGCTATAAGGATTATTTTGAGAAACAGCTGACACAGAAAAAGCACTGAAAACGGTAAAAGTTTCTCTTTCATGAAGCAACAAAAACAAACACAACTCCTTTCATGTATAAAAGACATTTCCCTTGGTAAAGATGTCCTCCTTGGTTATATCAGAAGAGGAGAATGGCCCTCAGAGACAATTCTTACCACCTGAGATGACTGGAACCTGCATACAAGACTTTATCAGATAATCCTTGTCTTCCATTAGTTTACTCCCTGTATTTTTCTTCCCACAGTTTACTCCCCTAGGAAACCACCACCTCTTTAAAATGGTATACAAACCCCCGGGTCTGTCTGCCTCCATGGGCTTTTATTCCCTTTCTGTGAAGGCTCCCATATGCATATATACAGCAATAAATCTTTTCCCCTGTTAATCTGTCTTTTGTCAATTTAATTTGTAGGGCCCAACTACAAAGCCTAACAGAGTAAAATAAAAGTTTCTTATTCTACAGTTTCCTTCACCAGATAAAGGAGCACTTATAAGGGTTTTCAGTGCTTCTAGATTTCATCTTGAAAAAATTAATTATAAAATAACATATTCAATACCTTGTTTTATGGTCCAAAATGCTGCCTAGTTTTTCTGTAGTTGGAAAAGAGGATTGCTGAGATTAATGCGCCACATGAGATACAGGGTTTAAACCTTCAAGTTTAAGCACTTAGGTTCCATTGTTAAAAGAGAGGGAAAAAGGCCTGGCCTGGTGGCTCATGCCTGTAATCCCAGCACTTTGGGAGGCCGAGGTGGGCGGATCACCTGAGGTCAGGAGTTTGAGACCAGCCTGGCCAACACGGCGAAACTCCGCCTGTACTAAAAATACAAAAATTAGCTGAACGTGGTGGCGGGTGCCTTTAATCCCAGCTACTTAGGAGGCTAAGGCTGCAGAATCACTTGAACCCGGGAGGCAGAGATTGCAGTGTGCAGAGAATGCGCCATTGCACTCCAGCCTGTGGGGACAAGAGCGAAACTCTGTTAAAAAAAAAAAAAAAAAGGGGGTGGGGGGAGAGGCCAGCCTAGCTCAGCGAGAAATTGATTAACTGATACAACATAAGTATGTAATGTTTTGCACATACAGTAATCATAGAATAGTTCATAATATACTTGGAGAGACTGACTTTTAGAATAAAATTACATGTTTGTTAAAGGCATAAATAATCTAACACTTTTGAAATATAAAAGGTAAACATTACTGAGAAACGGAATCTGATAGCTGGAAGGCAGGGCAAAGCAGGGCCAGCCTAGGTCACAAAGGTCACCCAACATGAAACTGTTTTTTTGTTTTGTTTTGTTTTTTGTTTTTTTGAGATGGAGTCTCACTCTGTTGCCCAGGCTGGAGTGCATGGAGTGCAGTGGTGAGGTCTTGGCTCACTGCAACCTCCGCCTCCCGGGTTCAAGCGATTCTCCTGCCTCAACCTCCCGAGTAGGTGGGGTTATGGGCGCCCTCCACCACGCCTGGCCAATTTTCTTTATTTTTAGTAGAAAAGGGGTTTCGCCATCTCAGCCAGGCTGGTCTCGAACTCCTGACTTCGTGGTCCATCTGCATCGGCCTCCCTAAGGGCTGGGATTACAGGTGTAAGCCACAGAGTCCAGCCATTTGAAACTCTTTTTCTTGGAATAAAGTCATCCTTGGTCTTTCCCTCCTGCATTTTATTTGTAAATGTAAAAGACAGGGTTTCCGGGCACAGCTGATTTCCTAGTTCAACAGAAAAGAGGAACAAGAGGGAGCTCAAGCGGCATCTTCACCACTCGAAGGAACTAGAGAGTAAAAGCCACCTTTCTTTCTCAAACAGCTTCCTGAAGTGTTTCTAGGTGGAATGAGGGAAAAAAAAATAGGAAATCAGTTCTTGCCCCAAAAATGTGGTCGGGGAGGGAGGTAAACGAACAGAAAGGACAGCTACAGAAAGAATAAAAGGTAAGGAAAAGAATAGAGAACCAAATTTGGGAAAGGTGAGGAATCCCACCTTGGAGCTATCATCAGGTGGTCTTTCGCAGTCAGCCACTCCACAGGCTGATCACTTCGAGATTGTACGGAAGCAGTTTCTACACACGATTTCACAACTGCCCGAAACGACTGTGATTACCCCTCTAGAGATGGCGCCACTTGATTCCAGCAGCCACAAAGCACTACAGCAATCGATGCTAAGAGGTGACAGGAAAAACAGGCTGCAACGATCCAGCCAAAGGAATGTCGTTGCAGCGGCGGTCAACCTAAAACACTGTGGAAGGGCAAGATGAGCTCAGTAACTTTTAATTGGGCATCATTTTCAGAATCTGGAGTTTAAGCACCGCCCTTTCCATTTTTTTCCTGAAGTCGTTGGCAGGGCGTAAGGTCTGCGATTGACTGACCGGATGCAGCTGGTGTGGACAGTTCTCAATCAGGTCCGATTTATCACTATATGTACAAGTACTGCTGCGAGACTCACTGTGTTGCATTTTACTTAGTACAAGATATGTCTGGGCGCGGCAAAGGTGGGAAGGGTCTGGGCAAAGGAGGCGCTAAGCGCCACCGCAAAGTCCTGCGCGACAATATTCAGGGTATCACCAAGCCAGCCATCCGACGCCTGGCACGGCGTGGAGGCGTTAAGCGCATCTCAGGCCTTATATACGAGGAGACGCGCGGAGTTCTTAAGGTGTTTTTGGAGAATGTGATCCGTGATGCAGTTACCTACACGGAACATGCCAAACGCAAGACAGTCACGGCCATGGACGTGGTTTACGCGCTCAAGCGCCAGGGTCGCACCCTCTATGGCTTTGGCGGCTGAGTGTTTTCCTTACTTATCCCATTCCTCAAAGGCCCTTCTCAGGGCCACCCATGAAATCTGTGAAAGGGCTGTAGACTAGAGCCTTAATGTCCTAAGAACATCTAAACGTATGGCAGTTTTGGCAAATTAGCGATTCTACATAAGCAGTCTCTAAGGTTTATTGCGGTTCGGTGCCCCTTTCAGCATTACTTAGTGGTTAAAAGTGTCGTATTCTCTGATAGACGGCCAAATTTATAACGCCTCCGGTTTTTGCAAGTCACAGTGGAACATCCGGTCTCACTTACCTTGTGTCGATTACTTTCCCGCTATGAATGCAAGGGCTGTGTAACTATGACACTAGTCCGCAACGCTCAAAATGCCTCAATATCGCCCTTTACAGAAAAAGTTGGCCAACTTCTAAAACATTCTTAAGTACGTTTAAATTTGAGAAATACTGGCATACCTACAACGCTCGAGTTTCATATCCCCTTCAATGCCTCCACTTAAAAATTTACTCTAGTTTCACTTTTCCTTCACGTTCCTTAACTTTTTGTCAAACCAATAATGACACCACATAATTCAAATAGTGCAAGGCAAGTTTAGATTTTTCAAGCTTACATTTAAACAGGATTTTGATGCATGAAAATTCCTAGAGTTTAGGGGGATTTTTTGTTTCCGTTTTTGTTTTTCTTTAGCTATCAAAAACATTTTACGTTTCTTGACCCAAAGCTGAGGCGGAATGTCTCCCTTTCACTGGCAGATTAAACTGGGAGCCAATTCCGTGTGTGAGACGTGGCATGCCACAGTCTACTGTCCAATCAGAACGCGAGGGCAGCTATAAATACAGGGATGATCAGTTTTTTTTCTCTCATTTGTGTTGAGTAGTTAGGCCTACTTAGCAATGGCACGGACAAAGCAGACAGCTCGCAAGTCCACCGGCGGCAAAGCGCCGCGCAAGCAGCTGGCCACCAAGGCGGCTCGCAAGAGTGCTCCGGCCACCGGTGGAGTCAAGAAGCCCCATCGCTACCGCCCCGGCACCGTGGCTCTGCGCGAGATCCGCCGCTACCAGAAGTCCACTGAGCTGCTAATCCGGAAGCTACCTTTTCAGCGCTTGGTACGCGAGATCGCACAGGACTTTAAGACCGACCTGCGCTTCCAGAGCTCGGCGGTGATGGCGCTGCAAGAGGCTTGCGAGGCCTACCTGGTGGGGCTATTTGAGGACACCAACCTGTGCGCCATTCACGCCAAGCGCGTCACTATTATGCCCAAAGACATCCAGCTTGCGCGCCGCATCCGAGGGGAGAGGGCATAAATGTTTTTCTATCATCCCAAAAAGTCTGTCCAACCCCAAAAGGCTCTTTTCAGAGCCCCTCAATTGTCACCGAAAGGAAGCTGTAGATTTTGAGACGTGTCTTAAATCCATGTTAGTTACAAGTTGCGGACAAAACGTAGTCGTGGCTCAACACACTAATGCAGGAGTTAGGTCACAGGCTGTTGGTATGCTAAATCAATTCCACATGCAGAACCTGCTCCTACTGATAAGGATTACCATTCAAAAAAGACATATGTCATAGGGACAATTGTGCAGATGAAGTTTAACTTTTGAAAAGTATTCCTGTTCTTTGAGGAATGTGTTTCCTGCTTGTCTATCTGCCCCTAAGGAAGGGAACCAGTAATATAGTGAGTGTACACAGGCTCTTGTGAGGCCGAGGCGGCCAGATCACAAGGTCAGTACATCGAGACTATCCTGGCTAACACGATGAAACCGTCTACTGAAAAAAAAAAAATTGCCGTGAGGGTGACACGCGCCTGTAGTCCCAGCTACTCCGGAGCCTGAGGCAGGAGCATTGCTTGAACCTGGGAGGCGGAGGTTGCAGTGAGCCGAGATCGCGCCACTATCCTCCAGCCTGGGCTACAGAGCCAGACTCCCCCTCAAAACAAAAAACCAAAAACCAAAAATCAGGCTCTAAAAACTGCACACATGAGAGTGGAACAATAGACAATCAGGACTCAGAAGGGACGAAAGAATGAATGATACGTTACTTAATTTGTACAATGTAAGCTATCTAGCTCTCGTATACCGCATGTAACTTGACCACCATGGAGCATATGCATGTAACAAAGTTGCCATTTGTACCTCACGCAAGTAACAATTTTGACCAAAAGCTCAACACTTTTGTTCTGTTTCAATGTAATGTTTAGCAAGCCATGTGTTAGGTAGTGGGCCTCTGAAGAGGGATACTTTAACCTACCGCATGCTATCATCTGTGAAATGAACTTTTAGCTCTGTAAGTGGACCTTAAAAAGTATTTTCCTGTCATTTCACAATATGTTTGTCATAGATTGTGGAGTTGGATTTTCATGAGGTGTTTTTGTTGTTGTTGTTTTTTGTTTTTTTTGGTTTGGTTTGGTTTTTCCGAGAGAATCAGTCTGGGTATTCAACTTCAAGTGGTATTTAAAGCTCTTCCTGGTTTCTAACCAAACTTGTCCAGTATTTTCAGCTGTTTAGAGTTTGGCAAAGATGTGAAGGCAGTTTTTCTTCCGAGTGCTCTCAGCCAGCTCAGCCATGTATCTGTGCCTTCCCTTCTTTCTCATATTGGATTCACTCTTGCAAAGAGGCATGCAGTGGTGTCCAGCCCTTTGGCTTCCCTGGGCCACATTGGAAGCAGAAGAGTTGTGTTGGGCCACACATAAAACACAGGATCACTAAGGATAATTGATGAAAGAAAAGAAAAGGAAGGAAGGAAGGAAGGAAGGAAGGAAGGAAGGAAGGAAAGGAGGTGCGCGAATCTCAAGGTCAGACCAGCCTGGCCAACATGGTGAAACCCCGTCTCTACTAAAAATACAAAAAATTAGCTGGGCATAGTGGTGGGCGCCTGTAATCACAGCTCCTTGGGAGGCTGAGGCAGGAGAATCGCTTGAACCCAAGATTGCACCACTGCACTCCAGCCTGGGCTACAGAGCTAGACTCCATCTCAAAAATATCCCAGCTCCTCGGGAGGCTGAGGTTGCAGTGAGCTGAGATCGGGCCACTGTATGCCAGCCTGGGTGACAGAGTGAGACCCCATCTCAAAATAAATAAATAAATAAATAGAAAAAAAGGAAGGAAGGGAAAGAAAGAAGAAAAGGTCTGTGCATAATTTTTGTGATATCCATCACCACAGATGAGCAAAAAAGTCCTCACATTTAAAGGGTTGGATAAGCATATACAGTTTTCGGAAACTTAAGATTTGATTCAGAAAAACAACAACAACAACAAAAAACCACTTTTGATCCATGGGGCCAGAAGCCTCTTTCCACAATTAACTTAGAGCTCTTTTAGTGGCTGTCTGCTAGGTGTAGGAACAACTTGACACTGCCTCTTCCAGGCTTCAAAGATAGTTCTCTTCTCACCTCTTCAAGGATTTTCCCTCCATAATGGAGCTGAGGCCATGTTTCTAGGTTTAAAATTTAGAGCTGCCACTTCATAGCTGTATAACCTTTGGCAAGTTATTCATTCTCTATCTGGGCCTCATGCTGTATAGCTGTAAATGTGGCAAATTAATAGAAACCTGTAGAACATATTTAAGATTACTTCCTGGCAGGTAGTAAATGCTGAATGAGTGTCAGCCCTTATTGTTATACCCCTGCTCCCACTACGCATGGAGTTTTGGGGTTTTTTTCTCCTGGACCTTCTAAGTTTTGTGTTTGGAACAGCAGAAAGTGCTTGGTTAGAACATTTTCTTGTGAAGATCTCCTTTTCTTTAGTTCTCAATTTGCATTGTTTGGTAAGAGGCCTATACAATATCTGTGTCTCTGTGGATAAATTTATAACACAGCAAAAGGGCTAGATAGTAAATAGTTTGGAGTTTAAAGGCCATATATAGTCTCTGTCACACATTCTTTTTAGTTTTTAGTTTGTTTGCTTGTTCGAGACAGCATCTTGCTCCATCGCCCAGGCTGGAGTGCAGTGGTGCTATCACTGCTCACTGCAGCCTTGACACCCTGAATTCAAGTGATCCTCCCAACCTCAGTCTCCCAAGTAGCGGAGACTACAGGCATGCACCACCACACCCAGCAATATTTTTTGTATTTTTAGTAGAGATAAGGTTTCACCACGTTGCCCAGGCTGGTTTTGAACTCCTGAAATCAAGCAACCCTCCTATCCCGGTCTTCCTCAGTGCTGAGATTACAGACATGAACCACCATGCCCAGCCTTTGTTTTTGTTTTTGTTTTAAACAATACTGTTAAAATGTAAAGACACTTCTTAGCTTGAGGGCCATACAGAAACAAGCCATTGTCCAGATTTGGCCATAGTCTGCCAACCTCTCCAGGAGTTCTTAGAGAGAAGATGAAATGTGTTGGCTACTTTAAATTTTCTTGCACAGCATTTCAAGGGTGAGAAATAAGTGACTGTTGATTTCATTAGGAATCCAAATCATTATTTGATCATTTTTATCATCCAGGCATCCTGTCCAATCCCCTCCACATCCTATAAATCGTAAACTTCACCATTTATTTCAATCTCAATGTATTTGCCTGTGTTTTCCTGAGTTCCTCTGAACTTTTATAACCTGAAGTCGCTCAATATCCAATCCAATCCTTTCAGTCAATAGCCAGATATTCTTCTAAAATATTAGCATTTAAACACACAAAAATACCCATATTGATGTATCCTGGCTGCTTATAGAAGAGAGTACTCCTGATGGTGCAGCTTGTTAAATGTGGGTGGAGATTCAGGGGGAGCAGTGAGAACATTTTGAAAACCTAACAGAATCCTGGGTCCCCTAAACAGTTTGTGTATTTGAGGATGACAGGGCGCTCTTGAATAATTTTCCGCAGGTTTGAATTTTCTCTAAATTGAATTATCTATGTTATTTTTCTTCCCCTTTTTAATGGATTTGCCCAGGAACTAAAAAGGGAAAACACTTCAATTAGAAAACGTAACACATTTAAGTTTGAATTTGAATCTAGGTAGTTGGATTCTTAAGTCAAAGCGACTTGAATTACTGGTGCTGCAATGCAGAAGAAATCACTCTGACCGTGGAACTTTTCCAAGCTGCAAAATCCCATTCTGTAAAGACATCAGCACATGGAAACTCCTAGGACACAGAACCAGTTTGTAAAGTCAAGTCTGTGTGGTTAAGTTGGGGCTGTAGGCAACCAGCTGTCCCGTGCCTGTGTTACTTGCTACAGTTAGAAACAAAGTTCATGCCCAAACCAAGGAACCCAGTGTCTTTTCTCTTGCAAAAATCAAAGCGTGAACTCATGGGCAAATTTTAAAAAATAACTTTCACCGGATACTTAATAGAAATTTATCGCGACACGCTACTAACTAACATGATGCCCTCAGCCCATTGGATTCTTGTGAAAAGCAGAAGGGATTTTTTAAAATATCTTTCATCAATTGCACGAGATTCGTGAAAACACAAACAAGTATGTGAACCTGGAGGCTGTTTTCCTCCTTTGGAGCTTCAAAGTGCCAAATTCTGTACCGTTGTTTTAAGCATTTAATCAAATTTTGAGGACTAACAAACACAATTTGGGAGTCCAACAGCGAGCGACGGCGGCCAGAGGGCGGCGGATTGGACGCTCCACCAATCACAGGGCAGCGCCGGCTTATATAAGCCCGGGGCCCGAGCATAGCAGCAATGCAAAACTTGCTCTTTGGATTTTGAGCTTATTCTCTTCTAGCAGTTTCTTGCCACCATGTCGGAAACCGCTCCTGCCGAAACAGCCACCCCAGCGCCTGTGGAGAAATCCCCCGCTAAGAAGAAGGCAACTAAGAAGGCGGCCGGCGCTGGCGCGGCTAAGCGCAAAGCGACTGGGCCCCCAGTCTCAGAGCTGATCACCAAGGCTGTGGCTGCTTCTAAGGAGCGCAATGGCCTTTCTTTGGCAGCCCTTAAGAAGGCCTTAGCGGCCGGTGGCTACGACGTGGAGAAGAATAACAGCCGCATCAAGCTGGGCCTCAAGAGCTTGGTGAGCAAGGGCACCCTGGTGCAGACCAAGGGCACTGGTGCTTCTGGCTCCTTTAAACTCAACAAGAAGGCGGCCTCCGGGGAAGCTAAGCCCAAAGCCAAGAAGGCAGGCGCCGCTAAAGCTAAGAAGCCCGCGGGGGCCACGCCTAAGAAGCCCAAGAAGGCTGCAGGGGCGAAAAAGGCAGTGAAGAAGACTCCGAAGAAGGCGAAGAAACCCGCGGCGGCTGGCGTCAAAAAAGTGGCGAAGAGCCCTAAGAAGGCCAAGGCCGCGGCCAAACCGAAAAAGGCAACCAAGAGTCCTGCCAAGCCCAAGGCAGTTAAGCCGAAAGCGGCAAAGCCCAAAGCCGCTAAGCCCAAAGCAGCAAAACCTAAAGCTGCAAAGGCCAAGAAGGCGGCTGCCAAAAAGAAGTAGGAAGCTGGCGTGTGAAAACCGCAACAAAGCCCCAAAGGCTCTTTTCAGAGCCACCCAGAGATCTCTAAAAAATTGCTGTGCACAATGTGTTAGATCAGGCAGGCAGTTTTCGAAGTTGGTGTCAAACTTTTTGTCTGACGCCTAGCTACTAAGAAGCTTCTTAAATTTTAAAAGCCCCGCTCTATAATCTGATTGGTCAGTTTTGTTCCATCATCAGTACGTGGTTTCTCCGCGTTTAAGCCACTTAGGCGCCAGCTACTTCGGCGTTACTGTGTTCGGCATTGATATAGCCAATTTGATATGACTATCATTCTGTACTGGATTCCTTTTTTTCTTTACCCGAGTCAGAGTCTCGCTCTGTCACTCAGGCTGGCGTGCAGTGGCGCGGGCTCGGATCACTGCAGCCTCAGCCTCCCCGACTCAAACGATTGTCTCACTTCAGCCTCTGAAGTGCTAGGACTAAACCACGCCGCCCGGCTAGTTTTTGTATCGGCTATGATGCCTAGGCAGATCTCGAATTCATGAGCTTCAGCGATCTTCCCGCCTCAGCTTCCAAAAGTGCTGGGATTACAGGCGTGAGCCACTGCGTCTGGCCCTGGATTTTTTTCTCATTGGCTCTAGTACATATAACACGCGATGAATAAACACAGCGAACACTCTTGTAAGCCCTGTATTAAATGACTTGTTCACATTCTGACTTAAACAAGTCACCTGAATCCTGTAAGGTTTTCCCTAAAGTCATTACTAAGCTTTAGATACAAAATGCTTTTCTTTTCACAGTAAACGTTCCGAATGTTTAACCAGTGGCCCAGCTCTCCCGCAGAAATAGTAAGTGGCTCTGAAAAGAGCCGTGGTATTGGAAAGTGACGCTATGGAGACATTATTTGCCCTTGGCCTTGTGATGACTCTCGGTCTTCTTGGGCAGTAGCACGGCCTGAATGTTGGGCAGGACACCACCCTGAGCGATGGTCACTTTGCCCAGCAGCTTGTTGAGCTCCTCGTCGTTACGGATGGCCAGCTGCAGGTGACGCGGGATAATACGGGTCTTCTTGTTGTCGCGGGCGGCGTTGCCCGCCAGCTCCAGGATCTCGGCGGTCAGGTACTCCAGCACCGCCGCAAGATACACCGGCGCGCCGGCCCCGACACGCTCAGCATAGTTGCCCTTGCGGAGCAGCCGGTGCACTCTGCCCACGGGAAACTGGAGACCAGCCCGAGAAGAGCGGGTCTTAGCCTTGGCGCGAGCTTTGCCTCCCTGCTTGCCGCGTCCTGACATGACGAAGAAACGATCGGTAGACAGACTGAGAAGAGATTAGAGAACTTTGCCAGAACTCCACTACTTATAGTCAATACTGGGCGCGAAAATAAAGCTGTGCCATTGGCTCAAATTACAGTTTTATTTAAACCAATGGAATCGCTGTTATGAAACACGTTTCTTTGGATTGGACAAAAATGCATATGACGTCATCTAGAATCGCCACCAGTCCTACACACTAATGTATTAATCACCTTATTTGCATAAGAATTCGTGAATAGGACGTTACAACGCACAGGTTTTTCTTCTTTTTTTTTTAAAGACATGGTGTCCCTCTGCCGCCCAGGCTGGAGTGCAGTGGTGCCATCTCGGCTCACTGCAACGTCCGCTCCTGGGTTCAAGTGATTCTCCTGCCTCGGCCTCCTGAGTAACTGAGATTACAAGCGCCAGCCACCACAGCCCGGCTAATTTTTGTAATTTTTAGTAGAGACGGGGTTTCACCATATTGGTCATGCTGCTCTCGAACCCCTGATCTTAGGCGATCCGCCTGCCTCGGCCTCCCAAAGTGCTGGGATTACAGGCGTGAGCCACCGCGCCCGGCCACTTTTTTTTTTTTTCTCCTTGAGACAGGGTCTGGCTTTGCCCCCAGGTTGGAACGCAGCGGCGCGATCGTGGCTCACCGCAACCTCTTTCCTGGCTGAAGCGATCCTCCTCCCTGAGCCTCCCCAGTAACTGGGATTACAGGCGTGCATCACACGCCCAGCTAATTTTTTAGATGTTTTTGGAGAGGCATGGTTTCGCCATTTTGTTCAGGCTGCTCTGGAACTCCTGACCTCAAGTGATCCGCCCATCTCCGCCTCCGCCTCCCAAACTACTGGAATTACGGGCACGCGCTGCCGCGCCCGGCCGCTTTTTCCTATTATTTGTACCTTTTCTGCAGTTAAATTACAGCACGCCTGACCCCACCAAGTCAGCCCCAGCCCTGAAAAAGGATTCCAAGGAGGCTTTTACTAAGACAAGAAGCGAAAGCGCAGCCGCAAGGAGAGCTGCACCGTGTACTTGTACAAGGTGCTGAAGCAGGTCCACCAACACCGGCATCTCTTCCAAAGCAATGGGGATCTTGAACACCTTCGTTATGACATCTTCGAGCGTTTCGCTGGCGAGGCTTCCCGCCTGGGGCATTACAAGCGTTCGACCATCACCTCCAGGGAGATCCAGACGGCTGTTCGCCTGTCACGCACGCGGTGTCCGAGAGCACCAAGGCCGTCACCAAGTACACGAGCTCCAAGTCAGCTCCTCTCTGGTTCGTCCACTTGGAACTCCACCAGGTTCTTCCTGACCCACACCCTAAAGACTCTTTTCAGAGATACCCACACTTCCTAAACAACTGACGTTCGTTTATCCCTAGTTTTGAAACGTTCAGTTAGCTTTAACCTAAAGCCTTTCATAAATGCTTCTTAATTTATGCAGTAGATACATTGTGGCCTTATGATATTTCCAATATTATCTGCTACCAAGAATTTTATGTTACAAACGTCAAATACACAAAACGGGAGTTTTATTGTTCGTATTTCACTTATCCGGACTCAATTTCAACGCTGAGGATCCCCTGTTGAGTAAGTTATTGTCTAGAAAACCAAGTATTCTTTAAAGTAAAAGTCCTATCAACCTCTACTGAAATATCATTGGACGTTTTACAGGTTACACCACAATTTTCAGGCCTCCTGGTAGGATGCTCAGTGACTAGCATGTAATCCAGGTGGCATTCTCTTTCAATTTTTCTTTTGTAACATGAATGCTGGGAATGTGCTTTCTTGCTACCTCCACTTTAGGCCTAATTTGCACAAAATGACCTAAAGGTATTGAGATTAAAATGGAGAAAGAAGAAGGAAAGAAATAAGAACCAATTTACATCACCTCTTCCCACTAGTTAGAAATGAGGTCTGGATCATTCCTTGCTAATCCACATTCCATGCTGGCAGATGGAATTTTTCTACTAATTAATTTCTTTTACATTTGTCCTAGGTAGACCAAAGTACTCCACACTTCTCCCGACTTTCACACCTGTCTTATGAAGCTCCTCTAAGATGTAACTTGATTATGCTTCATGCTTTCCTCTCACCTTTAATGTCTCACCACTATAAAGAATGGCATTTCTGTTTACTATACTTTTAACATGATCAAAATTTTCCTTGATTAAGAGTTTAGAATGTAGGTCAGTTTCTTTTCTGAGTCAGCTCCACATTTCATCTCACTTTATATTCTCCTTACTGGTTTTTTCTGTAATAAGGGGGAAATTATAAACAAAAAGGCAATATTTTTGAAATGTGAAGGCAGGAGAGTCATGGGAAGGCCTTTTCTCCATGAGAGAAGTGCAGTCTCCCAGTGTTTAGGCTGGGAAAACCATTTTGCCTTTTCCAGTAATCAGTGTGGAAATACAAGTCCCAATTGTGCTACAGACTATCAGATACCAGAATCATGAAACTTAACACCTTTGTTGTTTTTCTAGGTATTAATCAATCTTTTCTCATTAAAAAGCTGGAGGTCTTAGATGGGCCTATGTGAATGAAAAGCACAAAATCTAGGCTGAATTTATGAGCTCAGAGAGCCAAGGACAGTTAAGGCGCCAAGCACAGTTAAGGAGCCAAGTCTGCAGACAAAACCAGTGACTGTCTTCTCTCCAACTTCCAAAATCTTGCTAGAAACATTTGCAGAAGTCTATTGCTAGGCTGGCGCTGTAGCTCATGCCTGTAATCCCAGTATGTTGGGAAGCCAAGGTGGACAGATCACAAGATCAGGAGTTCAAGACCAGCCTGACCAATATGGTGAAACCTTGTCTCTACTAAAAATACAAAAAAATTTAGCCAGACCTGAGGGGCACATGCCTGTAATCCCAGCAACTCCAGAGGCTGAGGCATGATAATCACTTGAACCCAGGAGGTGGAGGTTGCAGTCTGCCAAGATGGCACCACTGTACACCAGCCTGGGCAACAGAGCAAGACTCCAACTAAAAAAAAAGAAAGAAAGAAAGAAGAAGTCTATTGCTTTACTAGATCCACCAACATTATTCAATCTGAAATTAGTACTGTTACTGATACAGTCAAGGAATGAAATAATATTAGGCTCTCAAAGTACAATTATTATTTCCTGAAATGTTTCTTATAGCTGTCCTCCATTTCTGTAAAGTCACTTTTTGTCCACACTTTGAGGACCATCCCAAGTCTTACTTCCCCTGAAACTTTTTTTATGTCTATTACAATTTGCATTGTTTTCCTGTCTTGTAGCTTCTCCAGAGTTCCTTCCTGTTTGAACCATTCCCACACATATACACCCTGCCTATGAGCAAGCAGAGATCTTGTCTTTCCTGTATCTTTATAATTTTTGTTCTGTTAGACCCAATAATCTCAGAAATACAATTTGTTTCTAGATAGTCTTCTATTTGTCTTTAATATTTTTGTTTTGTAATCCATTTTTCTTTTTAAACATTTTTTGTAATCTATTTTTAACCCACATTACCTATCTTCTCTTTTAAGGTTGGCCTATGGGACTTACACCGGTATTCAGTTTTGAAATTAGGAGACCAACTCCTAAAACAAATGACCACTTCAAGAGGTCAAGATTTTGGTTTATTTGACACCCAGCTTCTATATTTGTAAGTTGGAGATAACAGCAATTCATAGTCGTGTGAGTGTTGTAAGGATCAGTGAGAATACTTTGTGAATTATGATTATACACATATTTCATGTACATTAAAGAGGAATCTTATATATTTATTCAACACTTGAAAGGCTTAGGGCACCCTCACCTATCTATCAAACTGAATCACAAAGCTCCGCCCATGCAGTGCTGTTTTCCAGTTCCTTTTTATTTTCGGTAGATACTTGTTGAGCACATGCTGTGTTCCAGAAACTCTTCTAGACCAGAAATATATATATATACACACACACACACATATATATATTTTATTTATTTATTTATTTATTTTTATTTTTTTTTTTGAGACGGAGTCTTGCTTAGTCGCCCAGGCTGGAGTGCGGTGGCGCGATCTCGGCTCACTGCAAGCTCCACCTCCCGGGTTCACGCCATTCTCCTGCCTCAGCCTCCCAATTAGCTGGGACTACAGGCGCCTGCCACTACGCCGGGCTAATTTTTTTGTATTTTTAGTAGAGACGGGGTTTCACCATGTTAGCCAGGATGGTCTCGATCTCCTGACCTCGTGATCGGCCCGTCTCAGCCTCCCAAAGTGCTGGGATTACAGGCGTGAGCCACCGCGCCCGGCCGCCGACCAGAAATATTACAGTGAACTAAACAGACAAAAAGTTATGCACTCACAGTTTATTTTCTAATAAGGGAACAATATATATATATATATCTTTTATGATGTAAGATAATATTAAATGTTGGGGAGGAAAATAAAGCAGAAAAGAAAGATAGGCTTTGTATTTCTTATTTTAAATAACATAATCATAGAATGTTCATCAAGAAGTTGAAATTTTAAAAAAGATGAGGAGATGAGGGAGTGGACCTTTGGGGATTGTAGGCAGAATAAAAAATGAATAAGTAAAGAGGCCCTGAGGTGTTTGTGGGAAGGAGAGATACCTGGTATTAGTCAAGGAACAGCAAAGTGGTCAGTGTGGCTGGAACTGAGGGAACAAGGAGAACAGTAACTGGAAGTGGAGTAACAGAAATGTGGAAGCAGCCTCAAGAATGTATAGGACCTTATATCACACTGTAGTAGCTTTGGATAGTATTGTCCTAAATTTCAAATTTTTAGTAGCTGTAGAAAGCTGTGGGTTTTGTGTGATCAGCTGTACCCATCTTAACCCCCTGTTCCTGGACTTTAAAGGGATAATATGCAAGGTAATCCACATGTCATTACTTCTTTGTTCAACCTTTCAGAAAGGATAGAAGAAGGAAAACCTCCCAGGGTGAGTCAGAGTATGAAGAATCCCAAAGAAGTGCCAGACTCTTCCCTAAAGATATGGGAACTCAAGGTCTTTCACTCTCAACAGCTGCCTTTTTTCCCAGAATAGTACCCGTTCCCCACAGCTTCCTTAACTAAGCAAATGCTGGTGGGAGAAACACGAATTTTGAATCTGCGTCCAGTTGGGAGC